AGTCTAATCAGATCCACTAAAATTCGAGTATTTATGAGATATATATTAGATCTTTTTGATATAATTTAAAGCATTTATTTTCAAAGTTTTTAAAGTTATTTAAAGTTAATAAATTATTTTTAAAGTATTATTTAAAAATTATTATTTAAAATATATTTAATCCACTGTTTTTTTAATACTTTAATTCATCAATGTAAAAAATATTCTATTCTAGTATCAAGAATATTATAAATACGATGTATCAATTTGACAAAATAATTGGCTGTATTGGTCAAAAAATTTAGCGTACATTAAAAAATACTTGCTCAAATTATTTGAAGCAAATATATATATATATATATATATATATATATATATATATATATATATATATATATATCTGGTTTTCTCCTGTCTGAATAGAGTTAAGTGTAAGTGAGTTAAGTATTCTGTAAACATTTTGATACCTAAGTTTTGTAAGGCAAGCTTTGTAAGGTTTGTACGTTTCTACATTTATTAATTATAAGGAACCATAAAAAATGTTTTTATATATATGTGCTGTATTTGTGATAACATATACACATACATATATATATTATATATATATATATATATATATATATATATATATATACATATTGATAATGATGTCTGATTGTTTCATCCTTTCTCACATTGGAGTGAAAAGAAGGAAGAGACGTAATTTCTCGCGCTTCTAATAGACATAATCACTGTTGTCTTTAATTAAAAAAATGATTTCTTTGCTTATTATTTAAAAGTTCGACAAACAGCAGTTTTCAAAATTGGCTTTCTTTATGATTTTTTTTCGAATGATAAGTGGCAACATTAATGATAGAATTATACGCTTTACTTTTACTTCCGCTTAGCACGATATTCGTCGGCATTTTTCTTTATTTTCTGACAAACATCATGTGTTGCATGGCAACAAGTCGCCCTGCTGGTCTGGCTGGAGCATCCTAGCGGTCAGTGTAACATAACTGCACTTGCTTCTGCCGTGCCGCATCAACCTGTGCAAGCTCGTGGTATTACCGTGCACCTCTCTTTACACGCAGTTTTCTTATAAGCTACAATTTTAAAGTTGTGCGATCGAGATTATTTTAAATAAATAAAATATAAACAAAAATATAAAATAAAATGTAAAATATTTTATTTATATTTTTATTTTAAATAAATAAAATATAATAAAAATATAAAATAAAATATATAAAATTAAAATATTTTTTTAATAAAATATAAAATATTTTATTTATATTTTTATTTTATATTTTTATTTATATTTTATTTCTTTAAAATAATAAAAAATATTTTATTTATATTTTATTTCTTTATAAAATAATCTCGATTGCACAACTTGCTATCGATCGGATAGATCCTCAATTTAACTCAAATGTTATACGTGCATTATGCGTATATTTATTATATTGCTATTAAAAACATTGTTTTATTATTTATTGAATTAAATAATAAAAAATATGAGATAAAAGACACGCATACATACACATAGTGTGTACACACACTTAAGTTTGTGTATGTGTGTGCATTAGGTGTCTCTAGGTACAATCGGAAAGATAAAAAAAGTTTATATAAAAATAAAGCGTTTTTATACAAAATTTTGTTTTTAAGAAAATTGATTTCAAAATTTGAAGAATTAATATAATTAATATAATTGCGGTTTTTTTTCTATTTAAATGATAATCATTTTCATTTTGAACTGCATTTGAACTATTTTCATTTTGACAGCAATTATTATAAATACTATATAAATATAAAAAGTATAAATATAAAAGTACAATATTTTAAGACAATTTAAAATAATTTAAGTTACATCGATGAAAGAGAAAAAGAGAGGAGAATGTTGTGTTTAAAGTGTTTGGATAAATTTTATTTTAATTTTTCGATGGCGAAATGTATTCTTTTATATATATTTTTCAATCAATATTATTACGTTGTTAAAATAAATTCGATACAAAATTGTTAGAAATGGTTCAAACTTAAAAAAGCATAATAGTGCAAATATTATGCTGTTTTAAGTTTGAATCATTTTTAACAATTTTTTAAAAATAATATGCATAATGTTGCAAATTTTTCTAAATTGTTTAATCTTTATAGTTGATTTCGTTAAAAATAAAAACTTCTCGTATATGAAAAAAATTTTTTCTACGTTTTCGATTTTTCCACATTTTTTTCATATAGAATTATTATCTTTCTGTTTATTATTCTGTTTATTATATCTGTTTATTCTGGTTATTATTAGTTACGAGATATTATACATATATAATAATTGAAAGAATAAGGAAGAAGATCTCGTTGAAAATTTTCATGCTCGTATTTTCAAAATTACCAGTTTCCATATTCAACGTATGTTTAAAGAAATATAAGTGAAAAAGCGATATATTTAAAAATGTTTTATTGCAGGGCCATAAAAAGAACTAATTGATAGCGCGAAGAATTTCAAGAAAAATCTGTGAGACAAATTACATGTAATTCGCGGTTTTCTCGTAGTACTACAAGCAGGTGTAGCTGCTTAAACGTAGCTTAACAGGACTAGTGACTACATTATACTTGTGTATGTATGTATATTTGTGTGTATAGACGAATCATACATTTCCGGTTCGACTGACTGGTTCCTCGTGTTAGTCTAACATCAACGGAACCTATATTTACACTGGAATGGACGTTCTTATGTAGCGTATAAATGCGATGCAGAACAGCTGATTGAGATGAGATTTATACCAGATGAAGTCTATGTACATTTTTTGAATACACATATTTTAAGAATTAATAATTAATAATTATTAATAATTAATAATTATAATAATTATTAATAATAATTATTAAAATATTAATTAATAATTAAATTATTAATTAATATATTAATTAATATATATTCTTAGATATATTTATATATCTAAAATATATACTTGTGTTATTTATATTTTTAGATATATATATATTTATATATCTAAAATATATATTTATATTATTTACGCTTGTTTGTTAAATTATATGTTTTTGCTGAATTATTTTATGCACTCGTGATTATTTATATAGTTGTCACTTTAAAATAGGTATAAAAATGCATCTAAGTATTAGTTTATTTGCGTGTTAATCGGTTTGGTTTACATAATAAATGAACAAGAAATTCACTAATTATATTATATTAGACTGTTATATTAATCTATTTTTGATCTACATTAAATCATTTATATTCAACAGACATAAAGTGCAAATTTATCATCATTAGGAAGTAAAGCGTCAGTAATTCTATATGAAATTTTTATTCGTCTCTATAATGTGATCTTATAAAGAACAACTTGGTAGTCTTACGTCTCAAAAAATGGAACTAGTATTTAAAAAAATTGGTTTGTTCCTTTTTTAAATAGTCTTTATCGTAATTAAACTTTGTGAGAACTATACTTTGTGAGAAAAATGAACGAAAGAAAAATTCATTATTTGTAATAATAATATATCTGTTATTTTTATTAAATTAGCATCTCTGTCACTATTACATTAAATTAAGATTTTTTTTTAATTTTTAGCTTTATTTTAAGTTAAATAAGTATAATACATAAATAATAAGCATAATACATAATAGCAAAATAATGACTTATATAAAAATTTTGTGATTATGTATTGAGAAAAAAATCATTAATTTGATTAAATATGTTTAGTTGATTATCTAATAATAAAAATGTAATCGTACACTAAGAAAAAAATGTTGATTGAAAAAACGCTAGATTAGTTATCGTATTTTTTAAATTGAAATATTGAAATATTAAGTTTTTTTTAAAATATTAACATATTTCAATATTTGACTTAATACATTAATTAAATACATATTAATATATTGATAATATATTAAGTTAAATACATGTATTTCAATATTTTAAAAAAACTTAATATTTAAATATTTCAATTAAAGGAACATGATAATTAATTAAGCGTTTTCAGTCAAGATTTTTTTTCTTAGCGTACGATTACATTTTTATTCTTCACGCCAATTTGGCACCATGTCGGCTTTGATTTTACGATTTGATGAAATGTGAAGGAATTCGAATTACAAGGGAAATGAAAAACCGTCTTGTAATATATTTCGTATATTATTTTGTTTTAAAAATATTATTTCTTGTAATATAATATAATTATTCTACAATATTATAATTTTACATTTATGTGTATAATATATAATAATTTTTTATTTTATTTATACATGCGTTGCTCGGAGTCTCGAGGTGATTCCGAATTGATAGCCGATAATATTATTCCCATTTTCGTGCAACGCAATTTCGGCAACGTTAAAAATATTATTTGATAAAAATACATGCGGGATTCCAAAGGACGGAGACGATGTTCCCGTAATTTTCGTGGGGGTCATTATCACTGAGCGCACTTGCGCCCGAGGAAAGATTCTGAACGCAGCGTTCAGTACAGTTATAACGTCGGTACAAGCCTGACGTCTCGAGCTCTTCTCGTGAGAGTTCGCACGATAAGTCGTACCTTTTTTTTTTCTAAATAATCGCATATTGTAATCGTCTCGACGGAAATTTCGTAGTCACCTCGACAGACATTAAATTTACAACGAATAAGGGGAAAAAAATCGCAGAAGAATTTTACTCTAACTGATTGTGAGACCCTCGAGCGTTCATCGACGTCAGCCACATTAATGAGTTGTTAACAACCGTAATAGCTATTTTAATAAATATCGATGTAATTATATTTATTCGATGCATTTATTAACTTATGCAAAATTGCACTACCTGTCAAGCGTGAGATAAATCTATATCGATCAGTATCAACAAGTTTATCTATTTACGCTTCGTGATTTTCTCAAGCATTGAACTCTCCGATATAAGGGATTATTAAAGGTATCGGAGGATTCATCGTATTAGAAACATGAGGGTGGGCAACGAACGATGATTTCAAAGAAACAGTTTGTTGGAGATCAAAATGTGATTGTATAATAATTATGAGTTCGTGAAGACGTAAAGACAGCCGAAAAGATGTTGTGCTTGAAAAAACGAAGGACCTACAGCTTTACGCAGGGTGTTTGCGCGGCCATTCCTAGACGATCTAAAAAGGATAATAATAATTATGAGGGATCCTTGATGAACATGGCCATTATGACACTACCGCGTAAGAACAGGTGAGTCATCCACCGTTCGTAATTAAAAATCATGTCGGAGTATCTCGTTATTCTCTTCCGGCATAAGTCTATATAATACGAATTATTTTTATATATTCAATATATACGGGTTTTTTTATGAAATAAGCTGATTTTAGCGTTATAACCGATGGCAACAAAAGTGCATATTCAACTGAAAATATATGTGAATGCATACAATTTAAATTTAAATTAAATTAAATTAAAAAAGAATTAAAAAAGAAATTAAAAAAGAAAAAAGATAATATAAAAATAATTCCCTTGAAGTTTTAAAAAAAGTCCCGTTTTCGTGAAATTGGTCCCGTTTTGGTGAAATTTTAAATTATCTCAAGTAGATATATTTTTGGAGAATTTTTTTTGGCATAAATGAAATTTAATCGAGGTCATGTCGGAGAAATATAATTTTTTATTTTATATATATTATTAAATTTTTGGAATTTAATAACGAAAAATGCATGTATGTATTATATATATATAATTTGGCACTTAACTTTTATGTATTTTTTTGAGAGAACAAAATCGGTACTCGCACTTGCAATTTTAGAACCAACAATTACAGGACCATCGCATGATTTACAAATGTCTAAATTTCAATAATGATCATGCATATATAAAATAAAATAAAATAATACTAAAACTTGATAGCACTAAATTTGTTTTTTTTACAGTCTTTATTTTTCGAACAGATTATGTTTTTATATATCTTATGCATAATTAAATTTAATTTGGCTTTCGTACTATTTTATAATTTGTCTATTTTTATTTTATTTTTTGAAACCAACGATTTTTAAACAAGCGTATATAATTGATGGGAAAGAGAGAGGCAAGGAAAGATTCGTTACGTTGTTTTTTCCGATTAATTATTACAATCGCTAAACAACGGTATTGTTCCTGCATGTTTATTGCACTAAAGCATGTATGCTGCGTGCACAGAGCCATGCTTTGAGAAGGTGGATTTGAATACAGTCATTAGTTCTTGCTACCGTTAGAGATGATACAAGAGACAAGAGGAACAACGTAAATCATAATTGCAAAAATTACATTGCGTAAAGTTATTAGCCGTCTTTTATCCTTTCGCTATCGACAATCTCAAGGCTGTGAGTTTTTCATTTGAAATAATCTCTTTCGTCACACAGATACAGGCACGCACGTACGCATGCACATTTTTATACAATAAATCATATTCTCTTTGAAAATTTATGTTATAGTTTCCGCTTTCATTGGAATAAATTATTTTTGACGTACATATTTATAAATATATAATAATATTCTAAAAAATTTTAAATAGATATATTGAAATAATTTAAATTTCTCATACATTAGTGAATTGGCGTAATATATTTTTTGAATGCAAATTTTTTAGTAGTAAAAAAAATCGATTTTTTTGGCGAAGAGTTTTCACATAAATATTCTTATACGCATGTAAATGTATACAGTGAATTTCAAATTTAATGTTTGCTATAATGTACATTTAATGTAATTTAAATATTAGTAAAAAAATATTGTTCATTTTTATTTATTAATTGAATTATATATTTATTGTTAATATTATATATATTAACAATAAATATATAATTTAATAAATAAATAAAAATGAACAATATTTTTTTACTAATATTTAAATTACATTAAACGTACATTATAGCAAAAATTAAATTTTTAATTAATATTATATAGTTAATATTATATATATTAACAATATATATATATATATATATATATATATATATATATATATGTATATATAATATAATTATATGCACACACACACGCACGCACACATGCACACACAAATGTGTCTTCAGTTTTCCCAATATTATATCATCGCATTTTGAAATTATTCTTGATAAATTAACTTGCATGTGACCTTAATTGATTCTTCCGTTCAATTCGTAGCATCGTAACAGTCTTTTAGAAGCTTTCATGAGTCATGTTCGATTATGCAAGATTTCGCCTTATCAGACTGTATTTCCTTTTCTTGATCTTTTGCAAGGATTCTCCTACACACGGAGAGTTTCTTCGAGAATAGTGTTAATATAAACGGGAGAGGAGCATTATATGTATAGATATGCATATAATAGAATTAAAGCGGTTTGCACTTTCTCAAACATCAAAGCGACTTTTCTACGTTCATAAATCTTCCTCACTCAAGATTATATAATTCGCATCGTAAAATAATAAAGGAAAAAATGATAATCATGTGAAAAAAAGAGCATAGGCAATTTTTTATTATGCGATATCATTATAGAAAATTTTTTTCTATAATGATATTGTATAATTAGAATTTTTTACCTCTTTTTTACCTCGTAATTGTTAATTATATCGAGCAGTATACATAATACTATTATTTTTATACACACCTTTTCATATGTTTATACTCTTTTACATTTATAAACAATCATATTTCCATAATTAAATGAATAAAATTAAAATTAATAAAATATAAATTAATATAATATTTATAGACATTTGTATTTTCTAAAGTAGAGAAATGATTCCAATTTAAAATATTACATATTAATATCGGAAGAAAGAAATACATTAGTTACATTAGTTCTATAATGATACTATTATATTGTACAAAACGCAGTAATCATATTATAATCGAGAGAAACAGATAATTCTTCATAAAAAATAAATAAAAAATGTAGAATAAATTTCTTTTTGTACAACCTTCTTTTTTTTATATAACCAATTATAAAAGTTGGAAAATTGACAATATTTACGCTTTTTTAAACTTTAATAATCTCTAATGATATGGTGTTATGTATCATCAATTTTATTTCAAGAGTGGTTATTAAGATATTTATACAAAATTCAATATTTTTGTAGTAAAAAACTAAATATTATCTTAATAGGTAAATGCATACATCGAGGGGAATCAACTCCAATCTTAATCTTGATACATTTTATCAAGGTCATTCATGGCCTTGAGTGCTTTGACTTGTATAACCTTGAACATTTGAAAGGTCTTAATCACTTGTTTATTACAAAATATTAATAAAAATGAAAATATATCCATCCAAATGAAAATATGTCTATATAAAATAAATATAATATAATTCAAATGTTCAAGGATAAATTGTGTCAATTTAAAAATGAAAAATTTTTAATATTGCACTTACATAAGTATTGGTGCATATACTTTGTTAATTTGACATGTCATTAATTTTATATACTTGCTGTCAAGAGACTATTGCGCGCGCGTCTTTTTAAAAAATTTTCGATATAATCTTTTTTCTGTTTTTAATTTACATAATTTTAATTTGACATGTGTGTACCATAGACTAATAAATTACTTTCGACAACAATTTTACGTCTCGTGAGAAAGAACGTGAGTAAAAATATAATACTGTATTTGTGAAGGAAAAAAATATGGACACTTATAATCCTATAAATAATTCACTCGGCAATATTAAAGATTTCCTATTATTTTATAAAATGGAATATTAAATTTTTGTACTTATAATTAAGCTTTCGTATGCATAGCAAATGAAATTTAAAAAATTTTTTAATATCTCTTTTTTCTTAATATTTTCTTTTTCAGTTCTTTTTATTCCAACATCATGCACAAAATACAAAAAAAATATTCGGAAATCATATCTACATAACGATTTTATTCTGTTTACATGACTAAGTAATAAAGTAATAAGAAACAGAGCAGAAACAAAATGTTAAAAATACGAAAAAAAATAGGAATCTTAAAATACTAACAGCAGGACTTCTAAAAACATACTTTTAATAGCATCGATAAATTCATGTTAACAATGTAAGTCAATGCAAATTTTAAGGTAAAGTTAATTTTTTTCAAAATTAAGATTTCTTGAATAATACATAAAATTTCAATATATAAAAATGATATATATAATATGTTACAAAAGTGATTCTTTTAAAAATAATATATATATCACTTTTAAAATAATTATTTTTATGTATTGAAATTTTATATATTATTCAGAAAATATCAATTTTGAGAAAAAATTATCTTTAAAATTTGTATAATTTTTATCGTTAACATGAATTTATCGATGCTATTTTTAGAAGATATATAATATATGATATAATATATAATATATAATATAATATATAATATTTTATATATTGTATATTTCTAAAGTTTTATATATATTATATATATAGTTATTTTTAAAACACATAAACTTAAACTTATTAATTTTCTCTCCAAATTTATTTGTGATGATTCATATTATTATTATTTAGAGTAATCTAATTTTAAAATTACAATCTAATTTAATATAAAGTGAAATAATGCTTTTCAAAATTTTAACTTTTATCTTAACTAACGTTAATTTAATTTTAACGTAACTTTTATTGAGTTAATTTTTTATTTGTATAACTTTTAACATAACTAAATTACTTTTTTAACCCATTAACTTTAACTTAATTTAGTTTAAAAAAAATATAAACTTACCCAACCCTGAATATATATAATATACAATAATGTATAGAAAATAATATAAAATGTTACAAAATTTATTTTATTTCCGTTACTTTTTTTAGAACCATCCTCCTAGTTATACCGCAGACCCGTGTATAAAAATTTGAACGTAATTCCGAAGGTATTAGGTTTCTTATATAAAATTCTATAGCATCGTTCGTACACCGACGTATAGAATCCGGCAAACGCGGCCGGAATCGAATCGAGCAGCTGATTTGTCATCGGTGCTGCAAGAGCGTCGGCCCCGTCGTTACGCGCGAGCGCGCCCGAACGCGGCCGAACGACGGCGAAGCCGTCCGAAGACGCGACAGCTGCGCGGGAGCGGGGAGTGGGGATGGGCAGCGCGTGAGGAGTGGGGATGGGCGGCGCGCGAGGAGTGGGGAGGGAGAGCGCGCGAGGAGTGGGGAGCGGGAGCGCGCGAGGAGTGGGGATGGGCGGTGCGCGAGGAGCGGGGAGCGGGAGCGCGCGAGGAGCGGGGAGCGGGCGGGGAGGGGAGAGCGGGCGAAAATTGCTGAAGTGTTCC